AGTCAGAAGAAAAGGCCAAAGGCAAGTCAGAAGAAAAGGCCAAAGGCAAGTCAGAAGAGAAGACCAAAGGCAAGTCAGAAGAGAAGGCCAAAAGCAAGTCTGAAAAGAAGGCCAAAGACAAGACAGAAAAGAAGGTCAAAGGCAAGTCAGAAGAGAAGATCAAGGATAAGTCAGAAGAAAAGGCCACAGACAAATCAAAAGAGAAGGCTGAAGACAAGTTAGAAAAGATGGTCAAAGCTAAGTCAGGAGGGAATGGTGAGAAAATAAAAGAAAAGACAAAAGAAGGAAAAAATGAACAGAAAACAGAAGAACAAATGGAATGTGAAGAAAGTATTTGTGTAACAACTGAAAATCTTTCTGCAATTTCTGATGTTCCAATGGATACTGATATTTGAAATATTAGAAAATGTAAAGAAATGTAAAATAATGGCGAAAATAAAATAAAAAAATAAAAAAAAGGTAAAGTAGTGTCGTTAATTATTGTAATAATGAATTAAAACAAAAGCCGTTAATTGGCCAGTCTATTTATTTTTTTATCTTATTTAGTCAATTTAAAATGAAATAAATGGATTTGGGAATATATGAAAACACAATAATAATACAAGAATTTGGTTTATACAAGCATGCAATTGCATATTCAAAAGACAATAGTGAGTGGTTACAGTTCATTAAATTTAATTTTATACAAAATAAAACTAACATGACATTGAATAGATATGAAAATATTTGTAAATATTGTAATTGGCATATGAACATTTGTAAATATTGTAAGAAGTGATAATATAATTTGTTTTGTCCTGCTAGTAAGTTTTTGAAATCATGAATTTTATTTTATTTATCAGACAAAATGAAACTTCCATGCTAGTGTTAAAAATAACAATATCCTAAGATTGTCCATGATTAAATGAATTAGAGACAGAAAGAAGTATTTGTTTGTTACTCTTTATATTTTCATATCAAGAGTGAAGATAGAACAAAGAAGGTATTTTTCAAAAGATATCAAAAACACAATCAGATGATTTTGTTTCTTTTTCTATAAGTATACTAAAAAAGATAACAGATCAAAAATTTTCTTCATGATACAATGTATTTTGTCTTCTAATCTTTCTTCTAATTTGTTTGTGTGAGTATACTTATAGAAAAAGAAACAAAATCATCTGAGTGTGTTTTTGGGATCTTTTGCAAAATACCTTATTTGTTTTATCTTCACCCTTGATGTGAAATACTACCAGGTCTAAAAATTGTAGAATTTTACACTGACAGAATTAAGCCTGAGAAACATACTCAATAAAACTTTTCAAAACATTTCTCATAAATATATTTTAAATTTATTATTTATTATCACATATTAAGTAATTATGTGTACTTAATCATTAAGTACTTCTGGATTAATTACTAATATTTACAAACACACTGTTTCCATATGTAAAATTCCAATTCATTTTTGAAATTTAATATCTTTTCTCAGTTATGATTCCAGTTTCCTAAATAATGGTATGTTTCATAATTCTGTTGGCAAGTCGGAAACTGTGGCACTGATTCATGGTTTGAATATGAAACATCACTTTCTTCCCAGTAGTCATTTGAAAGAGAATTATGAACATGATAGGTCGAATTACATATTAAGCTATCAGCAACAATTTGCTGTTGATACTGGTTTGTGAAGTCTGATTGTAAGCAACAAGCTCCTGGCATGCCACCCATTCCCCAAACTGTGGCCAACACTGGATGCTGCTGTACACTTGTTGTTCGGCCACTGTAGCACTGAAATTTAAACAAAAGGAAAACAATTGAATAAATATGTTTGAGCAATTTATTTTTTGAAAATATATCAATAATTTTTATTAGTCTTTTCAGGAGTATAAAGTTTTATTTGAAGTGCACACACAGTGGTGATCTTGAGCCTTGTGTACAATCACTGGTGCCGAAGAGACCCTTCATTTTATTTTTTTCCTTACATTCACAATGAATTAAATTTTCTTGATGATTGAAGAGCACTTACTTGGTATTGTCCTTGTGTTAATCCCAGAGAACTTGCTAAAAGGTTTGCAGTAGCTTGACTAAGTCCTTGTGCCAAAATATTCACGAAGCGAGTTTCTTCCATTCCTTTTCCTTCCACCAAAATCTGTGATAGAGCTGATATATAGTTGCGAGCCAATCGAAGTGTTTCTATCTTTGACAACTTTTGTTGACTATTATTACGGCATTGTTGAACTGGAACACATCTAGGGGCAAAAAAAAACACAGTAATATTAAGAATATCAGTAAAATAAGTAGGTAGTTATTGTTTTTTGTTTATTTGAGCTAATGATTATTAGCTTTAGCATTAATTAGCATTATTACATTAGTGTTTAGTTGATGCATAATTTTGATTGAAAGTGATAAGTACTTCATCTTTACGTCAATGAATTTTATTGTTATTGATGTTGGATAATTAGTGATGGATTATGGATCCAACATTGATGTTGGATAATTATTAGATCATTTTATTTTTTGTGAAACTTTCCTGACTTGTTGGGAAGATATTTGTTGGTTTACTGAACTGTAGAGTGCAATAAATAATTCCTTACTTCTATACTAAAAAATAATATTTTTTTCTAAATTTACTCTTTCCAATTAAATAATTTCTTTTCATTTTATTTTTGGAAGTAAATCTTAAAATCAATCTTAGAATCACTTTTTTCATCAATTTTAGTAATGTGCCAACTATAATGTTAAGAACTTTTTAATAATGTTACTACTGTATGCAGAGAAATCAGTAATTTGGTTTACTTACCGTCTAAGTCTATCTAAAGCAGCATTTAAACCATGCATTCGGTGCCTCTCTCTGGCATTTGCCTTATGGCGACGTGCTCTCATTTTATGACCTTTCAAGTGTGATGTTTTGCTTAAAACTTCTGTGTCCATCTTTTCTTTTGTTGATTTTTGGACACAGATAGTGATATCGAGGATTTGAAAAAATGTAACTAGAAAAATTTGTTAGTAGTGAATTATGTTAAAAAAACTTAAATGTGAACTGTTAAGGTAGCAAGAATGCCATATGGACTATGGTGAACTGCGAAGGTCCCAGCATTGAAACACATTTGGGTGATGTCACATCAGCACCCCGATGGTGGGTTTACTTCCCCTCCCTGTCACTGCCCTTATCAGCCCATGTTTGATTAAGCTCTTCAGCTTAATTGCGGTGGAGCCAGCAAATATCATCCAATCACACAAGCAGATCTTCCCACCTATACTATCTGAAATATTGATGTGAGAATTTGGACTTAGAATGAATAACTTGACATTGTGGAATGATATATATTTTCTATTTGTGCTGTTCAAGAAATTAACTAAAATTCAAGTTGATAGAAAATATTGGTATTGAACAATGATTTTAAAGTGCACCTATGAGAGCAATTCTATAATAATGGGATCTGTGGAAAAATGGGTAAGAGCTTGATTGTGTGGACCGTTACGAGATCCAGAAGTTACGACGCCCATATGTTCCAATCGGAAACCATTCATCTTATCTACTTTGGTCTGCATTTGGGGGAGGCGGCGAGAAAGTTTCCTAAAAACCAACTCCCTTTTTCGAAAGATCATTAGATTGTCGTAGTTAGGAAATCTTCCACTGGAAAGGGGATTAATTATTCAGCATTTATTCGGGAATCGTCGCAAACTACACATTCTGTTGAAAAATGTATTATTCCGTTTCCCGAAGAAGGTCGTGTCGATATTAAAATGCATTTTAATCACTGAGCGAGACGAGGGACGAGCTTTTTTTTATTGAAACATAGTCCAGGAATAAGAACTGGGATCAAAGTGGGTATGTTTGCATTTTGAGAGTAAAAGTGAAGGTTTCACAACGGACATAAGTGAATGTGGTGGACGGGGAGAGGTTCGAATAAAAAACATTCTCACTCTGTTTCTGTAATTATTGAATTACGTAACTTCAAAATCTACTTTTATGTCAAAGTTAATTAAAATTTACATTGTGTTTTAAGTTAAAAAATTAAAATACATCTAATAGTCCAGTCGGTATGCTAATTTTTACCTGAAAACAGGTCATAAACCTTTTTCTTTGTGTGTATTGTATGTACCCAAGTAATAGTTAAAACCCCTAGTTTTCGATCTCCCAGACCCTGTGTTAACGCTGAAAGGCCTGAAAAACCGGTATTTTTCTAACTTGTTTCGTGGTGTGTATGTGTGTTTTCCCTCTAAAGCTCTTTAACCTTAAGTCGTGTATAAAAATGATTCAAATGAATTTTAAAAAGGATAAAATTTTCTACAACTTTTGTATAATTTTTTTTCGAAACCAATTACCAAGCCAGCTACACATTTTCGAATTTTTTTTTTCAATTATCAAAAATGTGTGCAAACATACGCGTCTGTGAGATTATAATCAACCTATAATAAATATAATAGTTAATATACGTAATACTGTCATTTATCTCATCGCCGGGGTAAACATTGTCTCATAAATGTACCCATTGTCAAAAATATTAATATAAAAAAGATGGATATGTATATGCGTGTTCGTTTTCCAGCTTAACTCTTCGATACGGGAACAATGCCATTTCAACAAAACTCTGTATACTTTATTACTGGGCAATTGCAACGGGGAAAATGTAGATGGGAGTAAGACACCCCAGTGGGGTGGGTGGGAAAGGTATAACATTTGGCGAACATCGGCAACTGCCGTGTCGATCCGTATTGAAAGGTTGAAAACATACTGTCTTTTTTGAATATTTCTATACCAAATTTGGCATAAAAATACTCAAAGACAGTCTGTTTTCAACCTTCCAAGTTCTATTAACAGTGTTTGTCAGAAAAGTTACGATTAGTAAATACTGCAATATATTGCTATGGTCTGATACGTGATGAAGTTACGAATCTACTGATTTTTCAAAGAGAACCAGCTTCTTACCGAGATATTTATTTATAGAATAAAGGACAATTCTCACTCATCAAAATCATTCAAGTACGACCGAGAACATATGCTTTTAGTTATATGTAATACATTCACCCTGCGTAGACAATAGAAAGAAATATTCTGCAGTGGAAACAGTTATTTGTTTGAAATATTCTGCGTGATCAAACTTCAACAGAACACTGCTGAAGCAGATGAAATATTTTTGTCGATTTGTACGGTAGAGATGAACTACAGCACTGGACGATGTTCGCTACCAAGAACTTTCAAAGACGATAATATTTAAGTTTTGTCTTGCCATAAATCCACATGTGATGCAGCACGCTAATAAATGGGTGTCGCCTACCGTCATATTGGGGAAAACAAACTATTCCTCAGGATTTGTGTTGATCGTCTAGCACACACATGCCTAATTAAAACAATATGAAATGCATCTTAAGAACCCTCATTTCATATAATCAAATAGCATGCTGCGACATGTAGCTGCAGAAAATCTGGACTGAAGCGCACTTCTCTTGGCAAACAAAGTTCTGAGCAAGCATTCCTCAATCGATCTGGCTCATGACGCGGCCCCTTGAGTTTGAAACTTGTATTTTAATTTTCAGGAGTACTTTAGATGAAGCCCTTGGAACATTTTCAAAATGTTCAAAAAAATTGCGCTATCGATTTTGATTAAATTTTGTTGGTGGAGAGTAAAGGACGTTTAAGAGAACGGCACAGGTCTCATGTTGGTTAAAAACACTGCTTTTTCTAAAATTGCAAAAATTCAAACGTTTTTTCGGCATCTTCCTTCAACTAAAATATTTAAGAAATAATTTTTTCTCCTAATAAAATCAGTTCCTCAAAGATATATTTGAAAACAAGGTCATACACAATTTTTCGAAGATTTGAGTATTTTTTCGCGTAATTTTGCTTGAAATATAGGCAATTTTTAATTTTTGTTTAAACCTTTTTTCTCAAAAATGACATCATCGATTTTGATTCAGTTTTGTCGATAGATAATCAGAAGAGCGTTTTAGACAATGTTGGTTAAAAACCCTGTTTTTTCGAAAATTGAAAAAAATCAAAATTTGTTCGGCGTCTTATTACAACTACAATTATGAACAGACATTTTTCTTAATGAAATGTGTTCATAAAAAACAGATTTTCGAATAAGGTAATGTTGAATTTTTTTGAAAGTGTGAGTATTTTTTGTGTAATTTGACTACAAAATGGTTCGCTCAAAATTTACTGCGCTTCGTGGACAAAGTTGAGAAGTGTTTGAAAGATATTGCTATTCTTATAAAATAAAAGTAGTTTGAAGGAAGGTAATACATTTAACATAGAACTAACAAATTACTTCTTTACTGCAAGACATTTTTATCGCTGATTATGGTATGTTCCTGGTGCCCGAAATAAATGCAGGTATCTACCACAAACGATTCCTTTAAATTGGTTGGATTTGGATTATATTAGCATTATTTGTAATACTTTACATGAAAGAAAAATTATGTACCATTAATTTTTACGTTTTAATTTTATATTACGCTATTATTAATTATTATTATTATTATTATTATTATTATTATTATTATTATTATTATTATTATTATTATTATATACGCTGCCTTGGGAAACAGTATACCGATGTATATTTCAGAATATCACTCTTGAATGACAACAGTATAAGATAATGAAATGTGAAATTCTGTTGAATTCGTCTCTTTGTCGAACGTTGTCTTGCAACCGTTATGAGGCTTTGTTTTATTTATTTTTTATTTTAACGTCAAAAACAGAAAAACTGATTGTGACGTATTAGAGGAGAAATGTAGTCTGTGAACGTTTTCGTAAATTCTGGTATTCCTACCCTAACCCATTTACATGTTGAATTCTGAATGCAGTAGTAGTAATAATGCAGAAGCATTAAATAAAGACAATTTGAGGAAGTTTTCGTAGGTGTGAAAACGTATAGAGCATTTAGCATTGCATGTTCAGATAAGGGGTAATGTGAAATTTGTGTTTAAACTAGCATATTTGGAGAATTTTACAATACTATTATGTTTAATAGTTACTATAATTTTCATTTGTTTGCCAACTATATCAGTATCGTATTATTTATTAACTTTTTATTATTATATTTTCTCGCATAATGCTTGCGCAGAATAAGAACAAAAACCGACCATCTCCCCCATACGTCATACAGTTTTTACTTTTTTTATACACAACGAATTTAATGCCAGAAAGATATTTTCATTTAAAGATTTGAATAAAAAAATCTATTATTTGAAAATATGTAATTTTCACACACAATATTCTACGATTTCTATGATTTCAAATACGTTTTTTAAAAAAAAGATGACTTAGATGTGTTAAATTGGAGAGAAAACGTAGTTGGTGTAAATAGTATTACATAACCATTATTAAAGGCGAGAAAGTACGTGCTGTTTTAGCGCCACTAGTTTGTTATGGGTTTCGAAATCTTCATAGGGTCATAGGGGGGGTCATAGTTTAGTGTTACGTGGTGTTGATATTTATTTTAAAAATATTTCAACATTTCCTGAAATAATTCCTTTTATTGTCTTATACTAAAACATTACCATTTTAACAAATTAAATTAAAAATATAATAAATTAAAGAAGTTATATTCTATTAATTGTTACAGTAAATGAAAATATTTTTGCATCATGATATGTTGATTAAATCTTTTAGATTACGAAGAAAATATTCAAAACTGATCCGCAGTATCTTCTAGAATCCAATTACTGGGCGCAATAGACTTCGCGCTTACACATTCTCCACGACGTCCACAACTGCTTTGCGGGTGTGAATCATGGACAATAAGAAAACAAGATAAAATGACAATACGCCTCTGAAATGAAATTCATCTGAAGAGTAAAACGCTAATTCCCAATGGATAAAATGAAGATTTAATACAGTAACTTTACATATTTTTTATCACTGAAAAAAT